AAGCATGTATGTGCCAAGTTTGGTGTTTGTTGGGTTCCTGGAGATGCTTGTTTTGGGCAGCGGTGAAAATTGTGAAAATCGGCAAATTGAAATGTTGGTAAAACTTCATGAAAGTGCACTTTTGTCTTGCTGTTTTATATGTTTTTAATTTATTTTTTTGCCTTGCTGTTTTATATGTTTTTAATTGATTTTTTTTTATTTTGTTTTTACAATAAGTTAGTAAGAAGTGCACTCTACAGATTGGTGTGAAGTATTATTAAAATGACCCTTTGTTTTTTTTATAAATGGGGGTGAAAAATGGGAGGTCGGTTAACCTTCTGTCCTGGTCGAGAAACCAGAGGGAGTGGGTGACGTGGGTGGGGAAGTCTACTAGAGGTCGGGGAGTTAGGGCAAGTGGGTGGAAAGGTCTTGGAGAGAGCGGGTAATGAGGGTAGATGAGAAGTGGTCTCTGAGAGATTCAGGAATGAGGGGGAGGGATGGAAAGTGAGTGGGGAGGTCTGGGAAGCGAGTGGGGAGGTCAGGATGGAGTTGCACATGCAGGGGAACGCGTGGGACATTGAGTAGGGATGTGTTGGGACTGGTTGATGAACCAGAGGGAGTGGGTGAGATGTGGGTGGGGATGTCTGCTAGAGATTGGGGAATTAGGGCAAGTGGGTGGGAAGGTCTCGGAGAGAGCTAACAATGAGGGAAGATGAAAAGTGGTCTCCGAGAAATGTGGGAATTAGGGGGGGGGGATGGGAAGTGAGTGAGGAGGTCAGGATGGAGTGGGGGGCCTGGAGAGCGGGTGGGGAGGTCCTGGGGAGGTCATGGAACGAGGGGGAGGGGTTGGGAAGTCAGGGGGGGGGGGGGGATGGAGCCGCACATGGGGGGAGGAGTGGTGAAGTCGGGGGGGGGGGGGGCAAGCCAGAGAATGTGGAAGAGTGGATGTGAAGTGAGTGGGGAGTTCTAGGAGAGACACAGGAAGGGTGGGAAAGTGAGTGACGAGTTTTGCGACAGGGTGGGGAAGAGGGACCGACTGGGAAGGTCTAAAAGAGGTTGGAGAATGCCCCCCGGGAGGGGTTGGGGTCCGGAACTGAAAATGGGACAGGGGGTGGGGGGTGGGGGAAACCACGCATTTGGGGGAGCTCGCTTTCTCCTGCAGGAGCAAGCGATTCCATTCTAAATTCTGAAGTTGCTTGCCAAGGTAATGTCAATTTCATATGGCACCCATTGTCAATAAAAAGAAATAAAAAACGAGGAGTGAAAGGAGGAAGAGGAAGAGATGAGTGCCAAGTCAATTTCGATGATTTCATAATGCTGTCATCACCAAAAAACAAAGAGCGGAAGTAGGAGAACAGGATGAGATACGGGGTAAACTGTTTTCATTGCTGAAATCAGTGTCTTTTGGCCAAATTTTGGATCTTTTTGTGATTCTTTTTTTTTTTTTTTTGGCTGTTGGAATTGAGTCTGGTGACCATATTTTGCTGTTCTGAAGTGTTAATGTCCATTGGAACTGTCTGTTGTGACCATTTCCAAAAAACGCTGAAAATTCGCTGAAAATATTTCATTCAAGTGCACTTTTGCCTTATCGTTTCACCCTGTTTTTATTTATTTATTTCGTTTTTTTTTTTTATGGTTTGTTAATATGGTGTGCACTCTATGGAATGATGCAATTTTTGGTTAAAAAGGCCTTCTGGTTTTCTTATACATAGCATTMAAAAAACGTTGAAATTTTGGGTCTCCGTTAACCGCCTCTCGTTCCACCAATAAAAGAGAGGGAAAACAGAAAGAAATCAAAAGAGAAAAGTGGAGAGGGAGAACAGCAATAGGAGGAAGTTAACGATAGGAGCAGGAGGAAGAGGAATATAGTGGTAGAAGGAGGAGGAGGTGGAGGACAAGGAATAAAGTAGAGAATGGGCCTCTCCCAGTGCTCTCCATGTCGATTTCATGAAGCAACAAAGAGAAACAGAGTGGAAGGTGAAGAAGAGGAGAGGAGGAGGAGGAGAGTGGCGATGTGAGTAGGAGAGGACGAAGAAAAGGAGATCGGGAGCTGAAGCCGCTTGGTTTTCCATTCGCGTCCCGAAGCTTCAAAAGCTTTTCAAAGTATATCCTGTGCTCGCCGGCTCCGGTGTCAATCTCATGTTTGTCATCATCACTAAAAGAAAAAGAAAAAGAAATAAAAGAAAGGAAGAGTGGAAGGAGGAGGGGGGCAGGGGCAACAGAAGAAGAGAGGAACAGGAGGAGGCAGACAAGATTAGGAAGAGGAGGACGAGGAGGAAGTGGAGGGAAAGGCTAGTTGAGGGAGGGTTGGAGGGAGCGAGGGGCTGGTGCAGCAACCCATCTGGCTTGCAAGATGCTTCGGGGATGAAGCGCTGAAGAAGGTGATGGACTGCTGTTCGTAGGGAGCGCAGTGATTATATGTTCTGTCACAGCAATGCGTAAAGAAACCATTGAATATGTGAGGAGTTCCTTGATCTGTGAATGAACCAAAGGGAGATTGCAGCGCCCGTATGGATTGTGAAAGCCACCGCCTAATTCAGACCGGCATCGTAATTCCATCGTCGTGGACTCCATGGGAAGACCGAAAAGGACATGTTTGTCATCGTTGACTGCTTTTCCACATTCATCATGCTACCATCTTCACTCGAACAGATCGCCCGGTCATTATAACTCCCATTCAGTACAACTTTCAGTCTAAGACGCCGCCTAATTCAGACCGGCGTGGTAATTCCATCCTCGTGGACTCCATGGGAAGACCAAAAATGACATGTTTGTCATCATCGACTGCTTCTCCACATTCATCATGCTACCGTCTTCACTCGAACAGATCGCCCGGTCATTATAACTCCCATTCAGTACAACTTTCAGTCTTAGATACAATGATAATGACCGGGCATTCTATTCGGGTGAAGGTGGTAGTACCTTTAAAGGTCTATGGTCCAGCGCGTGAGGCGGAAAGACCACACCATGTTGGGTATTCGAGTCTGGGTTCCCTGTAGACATTGTGGGCGATCGGGATACCCAATTCACACCAGCAACAAACTACCTTCTTCCCTCGAATAGAATGTGTGGCCATTTTCGCAGCATCTGGACTGAAAGGTGAGCCATATACGGCTATAATGACTGCACATTCTCGTGTAAGATGGTAGAGTTTGCAGGATCCATGCTCATTGCTTAGTGCGAGTTCTGCCAACCACCCGGAACCGGATGGCGTGGCAGGTCTGCCATCATCTTATCCGCCCGGGCAGATAGACTCGGGCCAGCACCGTGTTCAGGTGGAAAGTTTATACAATGTGTCTGTTCGTCAGGCGATGGTGAGAGCACTGAATGAGTTGCCACTTGGGTGGAAGCCAAGGACTTCGGACACCAGTTACGCCCTCCTCATTCCTTATCTTGCAGCAGAACTTTCCCTCCTGGTGCTTCGGAATTCACAGTAGATGAACTCCTGTAGGCAGTCAGTCAAATGTATGCAGAAGGGGGTCAACAGTGTATGGGCCCGCCACACCACTCTCGAAATGTGAAAAAGACAAAAGTGTTGTGCCCAGCTCACTTGGTGTACTATTCTTTCGCCTTTTACTAAAGAGTACCGTGGGCTCAGCACACGTAAGCAGCTTACAACAATTTTTAATGGCCCTTCGCTCCGTCGAAGGGCGGTGCATCTGGCAAAGTTCTAGCGGTAAGTTCATTTTCATCTTGCACATTTCGAGAGTGGTGTGGCGATGCCCTATGAGTGCGTCATCTAACGAATAAGGCAGCTGATTTCCGTTCAGAGAAGGAGAACTCGTTCATCTGGGTCCGAACTTGGGTGTGTATTTCAACAGTTCAGGGCCTACCGACTGAGCTAGGCTCAGAGAACTCATGTGGGTGAGTTGTGGGAAAAGATGGGATCTCAAAGAAGCTGCTGCCAAAGTGGTTTGGACCATGGAAGGCTCCACATGCTGTCGAAGCGGATCTTGATGGGCCCATCACATCCGATTGATGCGCAACCGGACTCGCAAACGTATCGGGTGTTACCTAGGTCGAAGTTAATTTCGTGTATGTCATTCAAGATTGCAAGGGGTAGAAGTATCTCTCATCCTCCTACTATCAATGGCTTTGATCGACTTGAGGGAAGAGTGCTGGGTTCCAGCATATGCAAGCACCAGGCAGGCAAGGAACACCCAGCAAGCAAGCTGCACTGTGTCAGATTCGCAGGCTGCCCCGAAGAGCAAGAAGCAAACCAATGCATTGACAGGGAGAGATTGATTGCAGTTCGAAACCGATAGTAGAATTGCTAGGGCACTGGCCTTTGGGACATCCATTAAAATTGCAACGATACAGAGAAGATTAGCATGGCCCCTGCACAAGGATGACATGCATAAATCGAGAAATGGTCCGAATTATTTATAAAAAAAAAACAAAAAAAACAAACAAATGCTAGGGCACTGATGCTGACTGCAGATTGTAGTGTCTGCAGATTTTCAACCTTATCCATAGCTGTGCTAAACACTTTCTGATGTCTTCAAAGACTTCGTTTATTCTTTGATTCTGTACATCGTGAAAAAATGATGCTGCTTGTATTCTTGATTCTGTTCCAAGTTCTGCAGCAGCTGTGCATATGCTCTCAGAGGATTTTGAAATGAGGCAGAGTGAGTGATGGGTGCAGCCCAACCACTAGGCGTTGTCGTCGTTTTTGTTGCATGATTGTGGCGGTCCGCATTCGATCCCTTCCCAGTTGGACTCAGTTTCAGTTACTTTTCGCTGTAGCGCAGCTGCGAACCCAGACCTGTAGGATTGTAGGATGGTTATCAAGACTCCAGAGGTGATAGGCTAGAGGTAGCGAGGCAGTACAGGCCTCCAGGGTTCACAGGTTACCATCTTCACGCGAATAGAATGCCCGGACATTATAGCTGTATTTGGTGCAGCTTGCAGTCCAGATACGGCGATAATTACCGGGCATTCTATTCGGGTGAAGACGGTAGTGCTAGTGAGGCAGTACGGGCGTCCGGAGTTAATAGGCTAGTGGTAGCGAGGCAGTACGGGCCTGCGGAGTTGATGGGCTAGATGTAGCGAGGGAATAAGGGCCTCCGGAGTTGATAGGCTAGAGGTAACATTGTCAAGGCCGTACGGGCCTCCGCAGTCGTTAGGCTACCGTCTTCGCCCGAATGGAACGCCCGGTCATCATAGCCGTATTTGGCACAACTTTCTGTCCAGATGCAGCGATAATGACCGGGCGTTCTATTTGGGTGAAGACGGTAGTGGTAGCGAGGCAGTAAGGGCCTCCAGAGTTGATAGGCTAGTAGTGGTAGCGAGGAAGTACGGGGTTCCAAAGTTCATAGGCTAGTGGTAGCAATGCCGTACTGGCCTCCACAGTCGTTAGGCTAGTGGTAGCGAGGAAGTAAGGGCCTCCAGAGGTACGGGCCTCCGCAGTCGTTAGGCTAGTGGTAGCGAGGCAGGAAGGGCCTCCAAAGTTGGTAGGCTAGTGGTAGCGTGGAAGTATGGGGCTCCAGAGTTCATAGGCTAGTGGTAGCAATGCCGTACGGGCCTCCGGAGTCATTAGGCTAGTGGTAGCGAGGAAGTAAGGGCCTCCAAAGTTGGTAGGAGGAAGTATGGGGCTCCAGAGTTCATAGGCTGGTGGTAGCAATGCCGTACGGGCCTCCGGAGTCGTTAGGCTAGTGGTGGCAAGGCAGTACGGCTTAGGGCTTTCTTTCTGGCAAATATGTTTTGGTCCACCTGACCAATTCATTTGCCAAATTCATTTGCTAAAGAGGAAGCATATCTTTGATCTGCGCTTCAAGGTGCCGAGATGAACTGTTACGTGGCTTTTAACTGGTCACTGTTCTCCGTTCGTTCTATCTTGATCTGCGCTGCAAGGCGCTCAGGTTCACATGGTCTTCAACTGCTATCACCAAGTCCTTGTCTGTGTATGTCGATGAGTGAGTGAGTTCTTCCGGTCTACTATCATTTGTGCGTGCCTGATGATCTACTTCATGTTTGAAGGTGTGTATGAATTTCGAATCGATAAAATCCCATGTGGATGTGACTCACTGACACAGTATTTCTTTTTGTTTTGGCGGCTCTTTGCGCTTCAGGATGTCAAAGTCATGGGTTCATTTGATGGATGGACCCATGGAGAACAGATGTCGCCAGAATCTACAGGCACCTTTACGCAGTTCACGACTTTCTTGAGAGTCAGGCCGGGAAAGTGAGTATATACCACTCACACACACCCCAATGCTCTTGGTAGCCAGGCTTCCCTCTTACTGGACTCCAAAGTTCAGCCCTCTGGAAAGTTGTGGGAAGTTGGAAACCTATCTCTTCCTGCTAGCTGCATTCTGTTTGAAACTTTGCTTGCCGGTAACGAGCAACCGGAATGGCGGCCCCGAGAATAGGTGGAGTATGTGTGTTGCGCGAAAAAAAAAAGAAAAAAAAAAAGAAGAAGAGAGCGTTTTCTTTTCCATCCATCTATAATAAGCTTGGCTGGGCCGCTGCCCGGCCGGGCGGGCCCGGAGGGGTCTGCCCGGAAAATCCAGGCGGCCCGAAAACCCAGCAGGGATTTTTTTTTCTAATTTATTGAAGGCGGGGTTTTGCTGCGCTGCCCCAAAGGACCCCGAATCTGCAATAAAAATGTGAACTTGGGGGGAGGAGGGGGAGGTTCAGGGGGGGTTTGGCGGGGGAGGGGAAGGGGAGTCAGGGGGCTATGGCTGGGGGGGGGGGAAGGGGGTGGAGAGGGGGGGGGGGGGGGGGGGGGTTGGCGTTTGCCGAAGGGTCAATGCAGGTGAATTTCAACTGTCTTGCGGGTATGTCAGAGACCTGTTGCAGGTGTGTATGTGGAAGAAGAAGACGACGAAGAAGAAGAAGAAGAAAATGAAGAAGAGGAGGACGACGACGACAAGGAAGAAGAAGAAGAAGAAGAAGAAGAAGAAGAAGAAGAAGAAGGAGAAGAAGAAGAAAAAGAAGCGCAAAAGGAGGAGGAGGAGGAGGAGGAGGAGAAGAAGAAGCGAAGAAGCAGCGAAGAAGAAGAAGCGAAGAAGATGAAGAAGCGAAGAAGAAGAAGAAGAAGAAGAAGAAGAAGAAGAAGAAGAAGTTTAAGCTCTCT